GGAGGGACAAAGCTCTGCTTTGGGACATGTAGGAGGTTTTATGGTGGAAGGACGTGATGATGGTTGCCTGTTTTAAACCAGAAGAGTCTGATGCCTTTGAATTGCTTTGACATTATAAGATGCTTCCTCCTTCTTAAGAAGCGAATTCTGATTTTTGTGGCTGCTCTGGACTTTAGACTCGAGGACGAAATTATTCACGAAGAGCCAAAATCAGATAAAAACTTATTTGCACAGCTGTCAGCACAACTAACTGTGCTACAGCATTCCTAATGAGCGGGCTGGAGTCATTCTGTTGTTGTTGAGTTTCTGCCTCATAGAAGAACCAAAAAAAAAAAAACCATGAGAGGCGTGCACCTTGGACAGATCACCTGTCCATCGCAGGGACACATCGAGAATTAAAAAAATAATTCACCTTCATATTTGGAGCCAATTTAGAGCTGCCAATTAGTCTAACATGCATGTTTTTGAGCCCTGGGAGAAGACTGGAGTACCACGTGAAAGAAAAACCTGCATGCGCAGAGAGGTTATAAACTCCTTTCTGAAAAGCTGGGCTTGATTCAAACGTCTCCAGGTTCTGGTTGTTAATATATTTTTAACTTTGTGAGTGAGTTTATTGATTCTGCTGGTGTCTCTGGCATCAGCAGACCACAGCACAGCTAACGCTGACTGTAGAAGATGATCTAAATCACCCTGTTAACAGAAAGGTTGATGGTCCCAATCTGAAAGACAGCACAGGACAATTTAATGGAAGTTTTAACATTTTAAATGCATGAAACAGAGAGTGAACTTAGGAAAACATTACATCAGATTCACATCATTGAGTCATTCACATCTAATCTTTTTGACTTTTGTAATTCCCTGCAGTGAATTCAGATTATTTTGGCATCTTTTTGGGCAATAAACGATCTGCGTGTCTTTGAGCACTAAGTTACATCGGACGATGGACGGCCTGTCTATTGTCTTCTTTGGTTTATTTCTAATAAAGACCAGATGCATGCGCTGCTGCGTTTCATAAAAACTCAATGAGATCAAACCAGTTGAGTTATGAAAACGGAACGAGGAGACGTGATTCATCAGGATCTGCTGGGCACGAGAGAGAGAGGTGGACACATAGGAGGATGGAGAGAGAGAGGGAGTGGAAAAAAAACTAGATGAAAGGAAAGAAAGAAGGAGCTGCTAAAAGATGATTTAGTTTCATTTTGCAGATCAGCAAAGACGCTCGCCTGTGATGGCATGACATGTCAGTTCCTTGTCGGCTCCGTTTGCTGCTCAGCTGGGTTGCCATGGTGACCAGCACATCCTCGTTCATCTCCTTCCTCTTTTTTTCTGCCTTTTTTTACTCCCATCCTTCCCCCCTCCCACCTCACTCTGACTTACATAAACCTCTTCTTTGTGCAAACACAGAAACGCTCACAGGTTGAGTGCATCGAAGTCTCCTATAAAATGTGACATCAGGCTTCGTCTTTTCTTTTATGGCTTTGTCTCGGTCTCGTTCTCGCACATGCCCACGCTCAAAATGTCTCCCGGCTGCTCGCCAGCGTTTCTTCCCTCTCAGCAAATTAAAAAAGGATTCAGGAAGGATTCAGGAAGTCAACCTTTAAAAGGAACCTACTTAGCATGGAAAGTGTATAAATGGAGCGTCCGCACACCCTGAGCCCTTTATTCACTTCACACACCATTGTGTGTGTGTGTGTGTGTGTGTGTGTGTGTGTGTGCATCAAATTTTCAATATGTGATCGAGTGATACAAGCACCAAATTTATTTGCGAGTTTTTAATCAAGGTTGCCATGTTTTCCGTCATTTTATTATGAAATCTCTGCATCATCAGTCTGAATTGTTTTTGTTTAGACAATAAAAAAAGGTTATTGAGTTTTTTTTTATATTCTAATCAAATGTCATCAACCCAGAGCACCTAATACCATGTGTCTGAATTGGTAAAAAATAGAGTTTTACTCTGAAATTCAGCAATAAAAACACAGTTTAGCATTATGAAGTAGCCCAGTGGGCAGTGCTGTGGTCCTGTTATCCTGAGGTTGCCGGTTCAAGCTCAGGTTGCCTCAGGATGGGCCCCAGTCTAAAATGATTGTCAAATATTTCATACAAGTTTGCTTTCTGTTGCGACCCCAGCAGAAATGAGCAGCTGAAAGAAAAACTTAAGTGCAAAATGTTCACTTTTTTGTTATACAAATGTATTTTCTCACAAAACAGACCTTAATGATCTCCTGGTTGTTTTTTCCACCAGTAATGATTTTACATTTACGGTCCTTTAACTCATCAGTTCAAGTCAAAATGAACTAACTGCCATGACTCTGAGGTGTTTGTGTTGCTTATTTGTGACTGTGTTTATAGTTGTGCCGCTATGTTTTTTTGTTTCAGACATCTTTCAGCTTGTCTAACTCCTTTTGTCTTCTTCACTCACCTGTGTCTCATCTGATATCGGCTCACCTGCCTCCGCTCAGTAATCACCCCTTCAGTCTTGTCTTGTTGCTCCGCTTAAGTTTAGTCTCAGCTCGTTGTTTTTGTCTCCTCGTGTAGTTATTCTTTTGTAGCGTGTTTGCTGCTAAGACAAAGTTTTAGTTCTCGCTCATCGCCTCGGCCTCGAGGGCTGTGCATCGCCCACTCCTTCTCAACACAAGGCCCGAGACAAACTCTTTCTCACAGGCGTCTGGGTCAAGGATTGTGTGATTGGTCAGTGTTTGTGAGCGTGTTCGTCGATGCAGAAATGCACATGGACGTTCAGCCGTACGACTCTTCAAACACACTAAAAAAGTCAAATGGTCAAAAACTCCTGGATGGAGATCATGCAGACATTGTGTATGGAGGAGTCTGCTGAAAAGTGTCTCATCATGGTAGAGTTTGGGCCAAACAGCAGATGCAGGGACGAAGTGGAGACGTGCAGCAGGACGGGTTTCTCAGAAGTCTGTGCAAAAACAAACGTCTTGATCACAAGTCAACTGTTGGGCTCCGGATGGAGCATGCCGGGCCCTTCAATGGCCCAGAATGCTAACTGACCAGTTTAGTTTTTGAAGAGTCGTTCAGCTGAATGTCCACGTCCATTTCTGCACTGATGAACGCATCCACAAACTTCTGACCAGTCACACAATCCTCGGCGCTTAAACCTTTGAGAAAAAGTTTGGGCAAGGCCTTGTGTCGAGAAGGAGCGGGTGAAACAGCTCTGAGAACGAAATGAAGCTATTTTCATCACGCAAACTATATGAACGAGAGCCGACTTTGTGCCTTCGTATGGAATACGCAGAACCATTCAGTGTCTGGATTTTGGGTTCTCGCTCACCTCATCACAGCAGTTAAAGCCACTGCTGTGTTCTGTCATGGCTGTGTTGTGAAATGCATAGAGTAAGCATTAAATGTGTCATTATTTTTAAACTAAATGTCATTGGGACCTATAGGTTCTTTTTCTTGTTTGTTTTTTTTCTATTTTAATTTTGCTGAAGTCTGGTTCAATGGAAAGAAATTGTTATTTTGCACCACAGTAAAGGAGTTGCTCACAAAATATTTGCTGCAGCTGTTTGTAATGCTTCCTTCTTCTTAATGCTCATTTTTAAGTTAAAAAAAGTATAGTGGAAATTTACAATTATTCAGCGGATGCATTTATACATCTTAATAATATTTAAAGTCAGCCTAACCCAACCCCAGCTAATTAACCTTAACAAACAATTCAGTCATTTTAACACCTACTAAGTTCACGTTTGGTGCGTATTAGCTGTAAATTACCCTCAACACTCACAAATTGTGTAAAATACTTGTTACAATCTTTGCCATGCAAGGCGGCAGGCAAAAATAGATTCCTTTGTGAAATGCAACTCTTATGACACATCTTTCCCCAACAGTTCTCAGGGTTTTTAACTTAATTTATCATAAAGACAGAAGCAGAGAATGATCAGAAGTCAGAAATATTTGTTCTAATCCTCCAGGAAGGACACGTTGGAAACCATTTATTTAAAGTATTCACACAGTACAGTCAGCCTGATACGGTTTCCTAATGAACTCATTTGCCCACTCAGCTTTTCTGTGCAACATCTTTTCCGGTTGCCTAGCAACCTCATAGCTTTTTGCGCCAAACATTTGTTCATTTATGAACAAGTTTTTCTGTGTAATTTCAAACGAAAAGTCTTTGTGAGAAGAAGTGTTCGCAGGCTGCTGTTTCCTTTTGTTTTAGTCCTCGTAATGAGCTTAGCTGCATCTGTTGTGACTTTAATTACTCTGAGACAGAGGAAAAGCTTGTTCAGTTGTAACATCCCTACAGCGTAATGCCTCATTGGTTGCCTAACGTGGATACAGTGAGGGCTTTGATTCTCTTCAAAGTCCAATATTTACCTCACTTATAAGCAGACTTGGATAAAACAGTGCTATACTGACAATAAAATGTGACCGAGGTAATTTAACGTGTCCTGTAACCAAATATCCATCATCTACACATATGATGTCACAGTGAAGATGAGTCGCTCAGAGGCTCTAAAGTCGTATTAAGGCCACAAATAGATATTCCATTTACACGTCAAACAGTTTGTGGACAAAACCATCTGCCTCTGTGGCTTCTGTCCCCGAGCGGACTCGGTTCTTCGCCAGACGGTTATTAAAGAAGCATGGGGCTCAGATGGCGGCTGTGTGTATTTTGTGTGTGAGCTCACATATGTGTTGTGTTAAATCTTTAGAAAAAGGTAACTTTTTGACGGCGTCTGCGTGTCCATTAGTGTGAGAAAGTTGACGTTTATGTTGCTGAACTTTTACCTCAGGCAGGTTTTCTTTTTTCTCTTTGCATTTTTAGAGAGGCAAAGACATGGTCTTATATTTTCTGAATAAAGTGTCAATCAAAGCCTACTGAGTAATGCTTCTACAGAGAATGACTTCTCTGTGAGGATTATGTGACTTAAAACACGTTGCAGAACATTAAGTTTTTCTTCTGGTTTTGACCTTTGCCCTTTTATTCCTCTAAAAACGTTTCCTCACACCGAACTTTGATGTGAACATTCTCTCTGCAGATGCAACGTCCAGGATTACATCTGGCACAAGGGCGCTCGCTGCGAGTCGGTGGTGACCGAGTTCCAGGTGATGTGTCTGGCTGTGGGCGCCTCGGCTCTGGTGCTCCTGCTGCTCTTCATGATCATCGTCTGCTTCGCCAAGAAGCTCCACGTGCTCAAGACGGAGAATAAGAAATTGCGCAAGCGCAGGTGAGGTGCCATCAAGGGATGGAGGATTTTTTTTAAAAAGAATAACAAAATAATTTTAAAAAACTGTTTCAGTTTTTGAGTAAAAACTCATCTGTTTTCTACTTGACAAATTAAATAGTGAATTGATACGATTCTAGCTGGAACAGTAAATATGAAACTTAGTTCAAGCTTGGTTCTGTTCAAATATGGAAATAATTTTGGATTTATGTCACTGAAGTCAGGAAGCAAAGATAGTCCAATTTAATCTGCCTTATCAGAAATGAAGTTATACGGATTTGAACCAGTTTTTAATAAATATTATATACAGTAGTCCCTCGTTTATCGCGGGGGATCTGTACCCTGAAGCCCCGCGATAAGTGAAAAACTGCGAAGTAGGAATAGTAGTACAAGTAGTAAGTAGTAGTTTATTTTGTTACATACATACATATATATATATATGTATATGTATATATACATATATATATATATATATGTATATATACGTATATATATGTATGTGTATACATATACATACATATATATACAGTATATGTATGTATGTATATATATGTATGTATATATAAATATATTTATATATATATATATGTATATATATGTATGTGTATACATATACCTACATAT